AATTAATACGTAAAAGGTGATATAATTAATAGAATAAAAAGTTTATTATGTAATAACTTTTTACGTTTAAAAAAAGTATCAAAATTTTCTTTTATCGAGTAACCGGGACCCGGAAATTTTTGATGATTATTTCAATTAACGCATTGATCATTAACTAATGGTACAGATACTTATGACTTTTATCAAGCAAGCCGAGAACCGGAAAAATTTGATGATCGTAACTATCTTCAATTAATGTTTTGAATCATCAGACTATCGTACGCAATTTCATTTATCGAGTGGACCGTACAAAAAGTTCATAAATCAAGTGATCCGGCGCTTGACTATAACTGAATTTCAATTGCTCGAACCAGTAATTATTACCTTTATATTGTTTTAATAAAGTCTCGTAAGTTTCCAATACAATATTAATCCAATATTTGCTAATAGGCACGGAAGAAAATGGAGGACGTCACTACCTCAACTGAAACAGTAGGCGCACTATTGGATGAATCATTGTCGACTGTTGCCGAGCCAAACGATGAAAGGAAAGAGTTTGTCGAGAGGATTCAATCTGAAGTTAAACAAGCTCTTACTCAAGGAATGTTTGGAGATACTAAACTCCGACAAATAATTGAAAAAGCCGATAATCAAAATGAAACGACTTTTCAACTGCTTCAACAACAAAGATATGCCACAAAATTTCCACTTCTCCTTGGGTTTTGCCATCTCTACGGTTTTTGCGGTGCGAAAAAAGATGCCGAACTAGCATTTCAACATTTTCAACTTTCAGCAGAACACCACGATCCATTCGGCCAAAATCAACTTGGAAAGTGTTATCAAAACGGTTGTGGTATTCCGAAAGATAAAGAAAAGGCATTTCATTGGTATGAGAAAGCCGCAAACGCCGGAAATTCTGAAGGTCAAGACAACTTGGGTTGGTGCTATCAAAATGGGTTTGGTGTTTTAAGCAGCAAAGAAAAGGCACTTTATTGGTATGAAAAGGCCGCCAAGTCCGGTTATCAAAATCGCTTTGAAAAAAATAACCCATCACATTGGATGTCACGTTGGAAAGTTCTCGATGAAGGTTTGCCGCCGTTAGGATATGGTCACACTAAATGTTTTACATGCAAAGAATCTCCCCGTAGATTTCCAAATGAGGCTAGTCGGCGAGAATACACTGAAGTGTCCGGCATATGCCCTGCTTGTTTGGAGATTGGGCTTCTCGAATCTTGTGCCCCTGAATATGATATTGAACATGCGCGTAAAGTTTTACTCTTTTATAACCGCAAGTTATACATTCAAGAATACCCGCCACACTCTTGGGAATGTCTAAAGTGCAATAAGTATGTTCAGGGAGAAAAGACTCGGATGCCTCATTATTGCCTAACTAATGAAGATTTAAAAACGTGTTTAAAATGTGCAATAAGGGTTAGGAAAGATTATCAAGGGAGTGGGGTATGTTCGAAATGCAGGTCCGTTTTTTATTGTAGCAAAAATTGTCAAAAGAAAGACTGGAAAACGCACAAACAAAATTGCATCGATCTAAATAAGTAGTATAAGAGACACAGAGCCTGCTATTATTATCCATTCAGTACCGCTCAAAACTGGTAGTTGTCTGTGTAAATCATATTTAACATCTCTTCGAGTATTGTGTTTTGTGGGATTGAGTGGTATATGATACGAGAATGGGAAAGATACATATATATGAGATGAGTGTGTAGGGGAGACCTCATTGTTTTATAGTAGAAAGGGTATTTATTTGTATACGTATGTGAATTACATATTATATTGTATATTAAGTCTACAAAGTAATAACTTATTATTAAAACATATTCCAGATCTTCAATAAAGAACATACAGTATATTAATTCGATGTATTTTATTATAAGATTTCAAACCGAGTTTTTCTTTAGAGATTTGGAAATGCATTTAAGATAGAAGGTATGCTTACAGGTTAATTTCGCGATCGGTTCCAAGTTTTGCTCCATTGGGTTCGTATAATGGATCAGAATCGTTGCATAAGAGCACATTTCATGTGTTTGCGAGGTTGTCGATCCAGTGGGCTTGAGCGATATCATCATCTGGTGAATTAGGCATGCTCGTATATTGAGACTTAAATATTTCTTCTTCGATGCTAAATGGAAAAAATGTAGAGTCTTTATACTTCGTGTGTGAATACGTAGCTACATGTGACCGGAATCCACTAGAAGAAAACTAGAATGAATGCTATTTTCACCGCTTCGGCAAAATACTGTAACAATTAAATTTCTTAAGGAATATTGACTATAACCAAAAATAGGCGGGACTAAAATAGTTTAGGCTTTGAGGCTACATATTAATTACATGAAATTATATACGTATCAATCTATTGCAGAAAAGGCCCGTAGTGCGACCTAAAAAGTCATGTCTCGAAGAGCCTACACATGACATCGCTCCCTTGAGGCCCATTGTAACGTTTGCTTTACTTACAGTATATAAGATCTGTGTCAGAGACATTAGCTCCGCTATAAAGCTTGATAATTAATTTTACCTCTTACTTTACGTTTTAGAATAGGATGTTTCCTTACCGCTTCAGTCTTATGTATGTGCATAACTTCTATTTCCGAACTAGATATGGAAGAATTACCTGAACCGTTGTTCGAAATATTCGAATCAGAAGTTGCAGAGAAATCAGTCCAATCAAGTGTGAAAGAGATTATTTGGGAAGCCCAGCTTCATTACATTATATTTAAAACATGGATCCCCAAATATCAGCGGAGCTGGCACAGCCAATACATGTTCGGGATCATTAACTTTAGGACCTTGAGATGGGATTGAAATATCTATTTTACGAATTACCCCTGATTAGACTGTAACTTCTGCATCAGAGACATCATATACTAAGCTCTTGCCTGTAATATTGCAATTAGCACCGGAATCTATAGCTATAACTGATACTTTATTAGCCGAAGGCTTGCTCACGCTAATTCCGCAAGATAAACTAATAATTGTGATGCTTTACCCTGGTAACTTACTATTATACAGTATATGCAATAATGTATTTTTTTACTTAGCATCAATAAAAATAATTCAATACTGTATACAGTATAATGACCGAAGCTAATAGTAATATTGAGTCATATTCGTCCGAAAATATTGAACCAGCAGTTAAGCCCTTGGCGAACCATTAATGTGATATTCAGCATTGTTAGGCAAGTATTGGATTTCTCTTGACCAATTACTGATTCTTTTTAAAAGGATCGTGAAAATAGTTTTGCCTTTCTTAGATTATTATTTCTCCGATGTAAGGCTTCTGATATAAGATCATTTATCTGCTCTATACTTATTTGAGATAAAATATGATGGCCAAACGTATATGATATTATTTAGCGGAGTTATCAATACCTTTTACTTTAATGTACGAACTTGCAATTTTTTCGATAGCTGAAATGCTATAAGAACTAATATTTTTGTCATTAGGCTAAATGTGAAGTCATTTTTTACTTTCTTATTCCCAAATAACGATATCATTGTTATTTCTACATCCACCAACATACTGTATATTGAGGTATTCCAAATTTCGACAAGATTGTGCTATCAGAGAAATAACACTACAGCAATATAATGAAATTATTGTGGTAGGTGAATTGTTTAGAAGTTTGTTTTATATAGAGAATCTATTGTTATATTATATTTTTTTTCAGAATAAGCTCAATTCTATTTTAGAATCTTGTTCTTTATTGAAAAGTTATAATTGATATTATATATTAAAAGTGATCAACATAACCTTCTTTTCTTTAATCTTAAATAACTTTGAATATTATTCTTAGTTATATTTATTCTATTGTTAAGTTTTTTTAGATTGAGAAGAATTGATACAGTGAGTCTTGACTATAGTTATTTTTACAACAAATATTTTTTATTTATTATTATTATTGTATAGATTTTTTTTTATAGTTATTTTATTTCTTTTTTTTTACCTATTGTGAAATATTTGATTAACTCTTGCCACTAATTCTTTGATTATATACAAAAAAAGATATTTACAAAAAGTTCTTATATTTCTATGTTAATAAAGTCTTATTACTTTCCTTAAAACAATTTGAAAATAACTTCAAAAGCCATTTTTATCTTCACTCCTTTTGTTTATATCATTTTTACACAAAAACTTGATTTCTAGTAATCAAGTAAATTCAAACAATATCTTTTTTACCTATAGCAAGAAAGTTTTACAAGAAAAAAAAATCAATAATACTATACTAAAAACCAATCTTTTAGAAACAAGAGATATTTTTATAGAGATTATTAACAATAGTAGAATAAACTATAATAGTCTAAATCTTAAAAACTTTTTCATTTACTATTTCTTTATTTTTTATAGTTATTTAATTTTTCTGATTTTTTGAGAAATTTAATTTACTCCAATTTGATTTTAAATTTTGAAGTGATATAAAATTTGCTAAAGATGATTAATTAATATTTTTTTTTTTAATCCGCAATTATGCCACAATAACATGTTTTTATTGAAAAATTGAAATGAATTTACAATATTTTACAACTTTTACAAAGTGATTAATTCATCTTTATACAAAAGTACTTTAAGTCAGATTTTGGAAACAATATTTCACTTCCCTAATAGATTGATAATAATCTTTATCTATCAAGATGATTGCCAATAGTTTGTCACTGTTGATTGCTTGAAAATTAATAAATTGCTATGTTAAAAAAAGAAAAGGGGAAAATGATTAGGAAAAGGGGACAATTCAAGACCCACCAAAAAAATCCAAAAATAAAAACAAACTTTTCTCAAAGGGATCTGCTTAATTGAGATAATCTTCTTGCTTCACTTAAACCTCAAAAGAAATCTTCTTTTTTACTATCTGTAGCATCAGATGAGTCAATCCAACTGGTCTTTCATTTAAGTAAGCATTAGATTGGGATATCTCAAGAAAAGTATTTAGACCTCAACTTTTTTCCATTAAAGCTTTATCACCACCTGAGAAACTTAGATAAAAGATAGGAGTTTGCAATCCATATTACCATTCACTTAATCTTTTGGTGTCATAGAAGTTTTCATTAAAGGACTTGAGCTTTTTAGAGGCAAATATTTCTGGAATCTTTTTTCCAATTACCAATTATATCATCAGAACACGTAAATGTGACCAATAAAA